AATCAGACAATCTGGTTTCTAAAATCTTACCCAAAACATCCAATTTGGCCAAGTTTTCATCATATATCTTTTTATTAAACGGTATCTTATTGATAGCCATTTCAAAATCTGGGAAAACGGCATCTAACCACTCCTGATTAAATAATGAAACGTATTTGATAATGGATGCATATTGTTGAGCATTCTTACCTAAAAGTCCACCCAATTGCTCCTTTGGAACCAATGAGAGTAAGTAAGTAGCAATGGCAATAGTCTCACATAAAGCATATCCTTTAGGGCCGATAAAAGCTGGGGTCTTAGCTAATGGGAATTTAGCATTGAAAGCAGCATCTTTTTCAGTAGTGACTTTAATATCTAATTTGTAATGTTTGACGATATCTTGAACAGCCCAAGATCTTCGAGAAATTTCCATAACATATAAAGTACCTTGAGACATGTTTAATTTGAGGTGTTCTAGATTATCGTAATATATTGATTAGTCAATTGCTTGTGTGAAAGAAGAATAACATTGATTTGGGAAGTAATATTCTCAATTTTTAATCTTTTTTTTTTGCAGCGAATGATGACAAATCACTTCTACAAATTTCTTTTCCTGGGTGCAAAAGAACAGTCTACTGCACTACGTATGTTCTGTTAAGGATGCATCGTTTTAGTATAATTAAGTCATAGTTTGGGGTAACTATTCTTTAATAGCTAGTATTTAGGGACCTTATTATATAGTCTCTTCTGCAAATATGTTTTGGCTTTAAAGGCAGATTTAATTTGTGCAACGAGGCCAGCTCCTAGAGTTACAGTTCCTAGAGTTATAACTCAACCACCCGCTCACAACGAAACTTGTTTCCATTATGTTCTAAGATTAATTCACTTTGCAAGTGGGTACTACGTTTCAAGGCGATGGTAGTTGAAAATATTATTTTCGAATAAACTCTGTAGTTGAGGAACATTGAACGCTTAATTCAATCTCTCTTAGTAAAGCAAAATTCAAGGTATTTAATATTACAACATGTATGGTATCTCTATCTCTTATTGTTGTGGCAAAGTGTAAGGATCTGGCAATGACAATATTAAAAAACTAGCACGTGATGCGTTATCAAGTTTGCATCAATTGCCGATTTCAATTTCAGTTCTAGTCATATACAGGACACTCTGAAATTGATAGAAAAAAGAAATTAAAATTTTTTGAAAGCAACGGCTAACCCACCATAACACCATACATACATCACATACACTTTGTCACACATTTAAGTCGCCTCATTTGAACAGTACAAGAGGTATAGAATCAAAACTTTAATTATTACCCACACTTTATAGGTTACCCACTGCTTTCCCCTCAACAAGCAACAAAGTAACATATATGTTACTCTGCGCCCCTTGCAGTGTGACCAACGTATGACCTGGATTTAAAGCTTAGTTTTCATTCATAGATAAAATAAAAGTGGGCTTTGACTATCATGCTTTATCCATATACACTACTAGCATTCGTTCTTGTCTTCTTAACGTGCTTTACCCGTCCTGCACTGTCCACTTTTGTCGATAGTCAGGACTGCCGTATAGAGGAAGCTTGGAGCAAATTTCGACCGTTTATTACTGATGTAGCTATAGACAAGGAACTGAGGAAATTAAAATTCCTTATAAATTCTCAAGTGATTAATTACTACGGAGACAATAGTGATACAGATGTTGCCATTAGTGACTACAACCAAACGACAAGCCTGTACACAAATTTACGAATAAAGATAAATTACATGGGACGACCGATAATAGATGAAAGCAGGAGATTTTGTGATTTAGTATCAGTTAAGGATACAACCGCGTACAGAGAGGGCCCAAGGTTTTCAAATGCAGCAAAAAATGTAACGGATATTATTACCAATGGCACCATACCGCAAGTACGTTCACAAAATGCATACAGTAATAATTCATTAATTGGGCACTTCAACGACACAGATCTAGGGTCATCAGATTTTACCATTTCCGAACTTTTTACAAATGTGACTGGTGACCTAGTTCAATGTCCTTTATACTACAACGATTCAATAATGATTTATTATGAGGCCGATATCAGTCAACATTTTCATCGACTAGGATCATACCAAGTAACCTTTGTTGTTTATGACAACAATGAGGAAAAGGATATTATCGGATGCAGAAAATCTTACATTACCTTGATACAACCAGGATTTATCGACGATATTATTAGCGTTGGCGTCTTGGTTCTCCTAGTGACCACACTAGTGGTCAACATCTTTACAGTGACTTGTTCATCTTACCAAGAGTCCACTAACCCATACCTATTCAAAGCGTCTACAATATGTAACGCAAAGCTTCTAAAACAAGGAGATGCAAGCTTATCGGGAATTATTACTTACCTTCAATACGCATTATTTCTAGGTGGGTTAAATCTTCAATATCCCGGTTTTTATCAACCCATGATCGGTCAAATTTCATGGTGTGCATTGATTGATTTTATTTTGGTCAAGGATGAGACTAGAGGCCATCAAGCACAAGTGGATGATGGGGTGTATACTACTTTTTCAACAGGAGGATTGTCAACTCTAACCCAGTATAATTCGCGAGCACAAGTAAGAAACAACTGGCCCAATTTTATGGCTGACCTAGGGATGGTTATGTGCTCTACAATCATTGTGAGACAGATAATTATGTTCTCAAAACGATTCCTTGACAAAGCTTTGAAACTGCATTATAACAAATCATTAGTTAAAAATCCATCTGATTTTGTATTTTTGTCGAAAAAGAATTTGTATTTGGTAGTGGGTCAGGTTTTGCAGATTTGGTTATCTGTGTTTGGTATGCCGTTCCTAGTGCTAAGCTTGTTCATGTTTCTAGCTGCCAATGGTTTGAATGGCAAGCATCATCGTTTTGCAAGTTTCCATGACTTAAAGGTTGGTGCTCTATCATTCACCACACCTTACAATGAGTTGCGAATTCCCCACAGATTGTTTTCTTTTGGAGAATCCTTTTCTGCTCCATGGGGAGGGGATATTTTGGCTCTAAATGCAACTAATTATAACAGCAAAAGAACAATTTCAAACGCTCCAGCATCCGGGCAGCCAAACCAAGGCACTAGTGTATTGGGCAATTTTAGTGACAATACACAATTTAGTAACGGGACACTTCATTCTGGTCACACTCTACGTTATTTCACTATTCCCAACGTTAGCTTATCACTAGCATCTATATTACTAGGAATCTGGATTGCTTTGGTACTTTTCTTTATATTTCATTACTTGATATCGTTTTACCACAGATTGAAGATCAAAAGTTCGGCAAACGTTTCGAAATTATACACTAATTTGAAGACCATCTTGGTATGGTCATTTTTGTACCACAAATACAAGCCACAAAGAGTCATTTATGTTATATTCGACTTTGCAATTGTGTTTGCAAACCTGATCATTATTGGAGTGCTTCAATACAGTGGTGTTGCTCAAGTAACTTGTTTGATGATTACTTCGGCTATTGAGCTATTCGCCTTATTTACCGTCAAGCCCTACTTTGTTCCTGTTGCCCCTTGGTCGTCACACTTTATGTTTCCTGTGGCAAAATGCTTATGTACGGTTCTCTGCATTCCTTTTATTGCCTCAGTCAATGCAAGCGAAGCAGTTAAAACTTATGTGGCTTACATTCAGTTGATCGTACACAGCGTTGTGGTTCTATTATTCATAATGCAATTGATATATTGGTTGATTAGAACATGTGTATCCATCCACAAGTCTCGAATTAGGGATAGACCTCTTTTCAAGCAAGCAAGTGCAATAACTAGCCAGGATGAATTTGAAAGACAATTTGAATATAAAGCAGTCGTCTCACCATTTAATCAAATGGCACGACATTCCACTCACGAATCATATCGCAACACAGCCTGTGGTTGTGAATATAACGACGATGGGTTGTCATCTATTCGTGAGGAAGAATTTTTGTTTCGTGGAGGTAGCATTAGGGTCGCAAACACTAATGGAGTTTCAAACGATGATATCATTTCCAATGATATCACTCGTACCAGCTCTATCCAATCGTCATTTGTCCGACAACTTCGGGAGTCAGAGTTGCGTAAGTTGAAAAATGATTATCGAGTACGTGAAATTGATAAAGTTTATGAAAAGTATTTTGTTAATGATCAAATCGATCCCGAAGTGAAGGAATTATGGGAAAATAGAAAACTAGCAAACGGGACTTTCTATGGGGCATCTTGCTCCAGTAGTGGGAACAATTACAATAACAAGGAGGATAAAAATTCGTCCTCGTTTGGGATAAAATTTAGGAATATTGTCAATAAACAGCAACCAAAAAAGATGGAGCCAGCATTTGTTGTTTCACGACCAAGGCCTTTAATTGTAAAGACGTTGGAGGAAGTGAAGCAAAGGCAATAACAACAACTGGATTGTGGTGATTGCCTGTCGGAGAAGGATAGTAAAATGCTTTCAACAGATATCCTGTTGGAGAAAAAATAGTGTTGCTTGGTGCAATATGAGTAGATATGTAATATTATAATACAAATGATTAGAACAAAACTTAAAAATACGTCTTACTTTACCGTTACTGATATTCATCGTTTTAATTTCTTTGCCTTATTACTTTCACTTTCGCCTCCTGGCCTCTTTCCACCTGTAGATTTCCCGCTACCGGCGACATGTCCCTTTTCGCCAACATCTGTAATTGCCCTAGCCAATTTAGCATCATTTATAACCTTGACTGGCGCATCCAACGTCCTTTCTACTGTCTTTTGCAAATCCTGGAGACATGCACTCAATGACTGGAATTCACTTTTCAACACGATTGCCGCCATTACATCACGAGCCATGGATCCTGTATCCTTGGTAAATGGCTCAGCAGCATAATCGGGATATTGATCTAATCTAATCTGTAAAATTTCTTGCAAGTTCTTGACTGATCCTTGAGTTATCTTTTTCGATTCAATAAGTTGATAGATTTTACGATATACTCGTCTCACTGAATGATGCGTGATTTCTTCATTTGTTCTTTGTATCATAAAAAATGTAGTTAATAACTGTACCAAAAAGATTAATTCAATTGTTACTTCACCGGTTTTGAAACAATCATATGAATCTAGTATAAGTTCAGTCACTTCATCGTCATCTAACGAATTATCTTTCATTTGTTCTTGAAATGTAATTTCGCCAACGATCTCAAGTAATTGACTCAAGTCAGTCTCATGCACCAAATATTTTTCAATAAAGAATTGGTATATAATGGATATCGGGACCTCTCCAAAATCGCCCTTTGAGCCACGGGGTTCAACATAGCCATATCGCCGTAAAATTTCACCATTTGGGTGATTTGAGTATGTGTTGTAGACTTGGTCACCTTTCTTGATTGCTTTGATGCTGGTTATGACTAAGGCGTTCTGTTCATAGTTTATAATAGCATTGTTGTAATTTGTGTCGGCATTCAACGTATCAGCTAAGGGCACCATTGATTTGATATACCCATCGCTTAGTATTTCTGGGGGTCCAGAACTGGCTTCATAATCATCATCTTCTTCCTCTTCCCCTCCTTCCTCCTCTTCTTCATCATCTTCCTCTCCTTCTTCGCCTCCCTCTCCATCATTGTGTTCCCGTTCCAGTTCTTCAACATATTGCAATTCTGCCAGATCATTGATTACTTCACCAGCCTCGTCTAGTGGTATTCCATTTCTTTCAAGTAATGATTTTACTTCCGTGGTCCCGTTATGTGAACCATGCCCGTGTTGAACTAGTTCCGGTACTTCCTCCCCTTCATCAAAATTACGATCTTCTTCTTGTTCTGCTTCACCAAGCTGTTCCCTAACATCTTTCTCCTCTTCTTTCGTCAACTCGACATCAAACGAGTACGACATAATTATAGTTGCAACAACGTTATACTCATCAAATGCGACCTCGTCTAACTCATCTATTTTCAACTCCTTGATTATATCTAACGCTTTATGATACATTTCGTCAGCAGCCTCCTTGCCTACCCTTTCTATGACATAACTTGGTTGTAACAAATTCAATTCATTTTGGCTCCAAAACATCAATTGATTGAATCCCTTCTGCGGTAAAACATTGATATATTTCAACCACTGACTTTGTTCTTTATTGCGAAGTTCGAACAATAGAATGATTATCAACGCATCCCAATGGGAGAGTCTCATTAAGTAATGCTTCAAATTGGGGTGTTCACAGATGAGTAAATTTTGTTGAACATTTATGAGTGCAGTTTTAGGAATAGTAGCCAAGATCTCTCCTTCTTTTATATCCTTTAACGCAATCACTCCACGCCCTTGATTGATTGAAGTGTAATCATGTATGGTAATCTTGGATGATATGTTGACATTACGGGACTTTAACCACTCGAGATATTCTGAGGTTGACTCATTGAAATCATCTTTCAACTGTGAGACTAAAGACATTGCTAATTAGGAGGATGATACTTGGTTTGTTAGAACTTCACTATTGATTTCTCGATGATGTAATTGGCTTCACAACTGCCTGTAGCTCTTTTTGGTTTTCATTTACATTGTTCTCGTCACATCGCATCGATTTGGTTCGCCCGAAAAAATTTGGCGATTGATTGATTGATGTTGCATTTTTTTTATTCACTTTTCGTTTTCTGTGTTTGTGTTTGTGTTGCTTGCCATCTTTTTTTACCCCATGTCACTTGATTTTTGTATGTTTTTGTTCCTAGATGTACCAGATTCTTGAGACTTCAGGAACCCCAAGTAGATTTTTGTATCTTGTTTGTTTGTCTGTACTACATTATTAAGAAAACAGAATGTTCAAAAATCTGCCCTGGTTGTACTTTGATCTCTCATTAGTCTTTTTTACTCTGACCTTTTTGACCTGCTGATTATTCTACAGAAGAGCTACAATATCTTTCAAAGGGGTACTGTTGTGATAGTATTATTTGATATTGAGAATTGCTCTATAAAGTACTCTATGAGATTTTCAATAGATTCTATATGGTGCTGATGGGGTGTTTGAATTTTACCACCACTTGTTCCCCTGTGTAGTTTAAACGTGTTCAAATAAATGGTTCTCCAATTGAGAATCAATCTCCACATTTATGATAAGTCATCACAGATCTTTATTTAATCATTTGTGTTAGATCCATAAAAACAAAGTCACCAGACTCAGCCACTTGCACAAGATGTGTCCTAATGGCCCTATCTACTTCGGCAAAGGAAACTTATAGACATAGTATTTCAATTGGGGTTATGCTTCAATTTTCAATGTCTAATTTCAACATAGCTAATGTTGCAAAGCTAAGGGGCATTCATAGTCATGTAGTCGAAATGACCTTTGAGTGTACCCAAAAACAATTTATAACCTTTCATTACTCATCCAATCAATGCTACTTGTTTTCAAATGCATTAATGCTAGGTCAGTAGGATATTATGAAGAAAAAGAATCAATGAGAAGCTGGTTCTTATTTGAAACAGAAAAGGCATCGAATATAGCTCTACGGACAGACCATCGAAAACACAGTTCAATCACTATCATCGTTAAATGCTGATTTCAATTTACCTACCGGCTTCTTCTTGACACTTAATCTGATTGGAGCTGCTACTCTTTCAATAGATTCACAATGAATTTCTGCCTTATTTGTAACTTTAGCTAAGTCATCATCAAGAGCCGTTTCCTTCTGCTTTTTTATCTCCAATTCTTGTCCACGTTTTATCTGCTTTCGTATAAACCTGTCATTTATTTCATTATCGGCTCTTAAATACTCCTCGTCTTCCTTATTCTTCAACCTTTGAATTTCTTGCGAATCAATTAGCCTAATCTCCAAGTTGAACCCTTCACTATCCATCTCACTATTCTCCCCACTTTCATCAGTTTGAGTTACTTTAACAAGCCCGTTTTGGCCCAAATGCTTAACAAATGAGGTCAAACTTTTCCATCGAGTTACATTCATGTGTACATGGTCACGTTGTCGAATATACTCTTGATAAAATCTATTGGCATTGATTGATTTGGTGCCGTGGTTCACGCGTAATAGGTTCAAAAAATCAGTCTGAAATTGATGGGAGTAGGAAGATACTATGCTACTAGATTCCCCACTCGATTGCAAGTTGGATATTCGACCTAGATGAGACTTTGATTGTAGGTGGTTTTTAAATCCATTTGAATCTCGACATTGTTTTGAACATATTTGACAGTAATATTTTAGCTTTTGTAGTCCACTTGCTTTCAATCTTTTGGCTTCGTACTTAGAAGTGCCAATATCTGCTCTAGCCATGAGGAGGAGTTGTGGTGAGTTAAGTGATTATAGAATTGAATAGTGCATCTACCTTGCAGTAAGTGTCGCGAAAGAAAGTTTTGCGCAGGTCAGCGAAGTTTTTCCTGACACGGAATCTTTTTATTTAACTTTGTCTCATGGTTCATAAATCATACCAATGAGAAATTAATAAATGGTTGCCAATTCCACCTACTACCACTTAAGTTTACGCGAAGTTTTGTAAGTCGACTAAGCATGTCATTAAGTATAAACGTGTGGATGTTTAGAAGCAATCTTGTCTCTAAAATACATTCTAGAACAGCTAGGTGAGGCAGAACTTATCTGCCCTTCACAGCTGTAGTTCCAGTTGACTTACCTTGTGCATGCATAAAAAAAGGTTATATTTGAGGCAAGGTTCGATCAATTTGTGTACTATAAAGGGTTCTGTTGGTAGAGTAAGGCATGATACCTCTTCCAACTCCTTTTGAGCTTTATTCAATCTATGACGGCCGAGAGAAAAGAGAATCGGTTCCGGTATTTCCCCATTTGATATCACCCGAGCTTCTGAAGTAAAAAAATAAAGTTTTAGGAAGCTAGCGTTCCGGTTGAAATTTCATGACGGCAACTAAAATGAATCATGCCAAATTACACCCGTTGCCGTCAAGCAATGAATATAGTAAACAGTAATAGAGTTTTGAGTATTGCATTTGAAATTCGGATAGTTAGATGCGGCTATGAAACCCAGAACGGAAAGCGCGTAAAGGACAGTAGACGTTCCGACAAAAGCAAACGGTCTCAACAACCATATGCAATAGCTGTATACTCAAATGTTTCGAGACATGTTGGTTCACGACCCACCCCAGAATATATAAAGGGCTTGAAATGATCTGTTATTTTTTTCAGTTTCTTGATCTCGGTGTTGAGCATATACAATCTACAAAGCACATTAAAAACTACTTGGAGTTAAACAAAAAATATGTCTTATCCTGATATTCCTTCTAGAAGTTTTGCAGACTGGAGACAAGTCCTTCATGGTTTCTGGCCAGGTAAACCAAAGTTTACCGAAAAAGATTATCCGTCATTGGAGGGGAAAGTGGTTATTGTTACTGGAGGTAACACTGGTCTTGGTTACGAAACAGTCAAGTCTTTAGCTGGTGCAACAAGGGCTAGAATCTATATCTTTTCAAGAAACAAGGAAAAGACCCTTGATGCAATTGAGAAGCTCAAGCAAGAAGTTGCAAGTGAATACGATGTTCGCAAAAGAGAAATTGGATTTATTCAAGTTGACTTGAGTGACCTCACCACTGTCAAGCCGGCAGTGGAGAAATTTTTGGCAAAGGAGGATAGAGTGGACATTATAATCAATAATGCTGGTGTTATGATGCCGCCTCAAGGTGCAAAAGCCAAACAAGGCTATGAATTACAACTTGGAACTAATGTGTTGGGTCACCACTTGTTACAGCGTTTATTAGACCCTTTATTCATCGAGACTTCCAAAACGAATCCACCGGGATTGTCCAGGATTGTGTGGTTATCATCTACAGCTCATATGCTTGCCCCAAAAGGAGGTGTCTTTTGGGAGGATATCAATTTTGATAAAGTACCTAAATTTACTACCAATGTCAAGAGCCAGCTTTATGGACAGAGCAAAGCTGCTAATTTGATCCAAGCACGTACATGGTCGAGAAAGCACGGTTATCCCAACGTCATCAGTAGCTCTATTTGCCCAGGATATTTGAATACTGATTTACAAAGATACGCAACCAACATGGAGAAATATATTTACAAGTACGTTTTGTACCCGCAACGTTTTGGTGCATACACAGTGTTGTATGCTGCCTTCTCTCCGGACGTGAAGGATGGTGATCACAGTGTGTCATTTGGAGTTCCTGCTAAAGCTAGAAAAGATTTATTGAGCGAAGAAGTTGGCGATAAGCTTTGGTCATGGCTAGATAAAGAAACTGATCCCTACGTTTAGATCTTAGGCACGTCATCTGGGGTAGGGGAAACCTGCTAACAAATACTATTGTATATAGCATAGATAGAAATCGTTTTCAAGTATTTGAATACTGTAAATTGCTATGCTCTTTTTGAAAATTAGAAGATGAAAGTCTAGTGTTTCAAGCAAACACTACAATTCCCGTTCGTGGTTCGACAAAACAAGCTACTTGTGAAATATTTCTGTTGCAAAAACACTGATTCTAAATGACTTTATTGCAAACTTGGAGTCACATGTATCCTCGTAGTAAGAGATGGGGTAACAAACAGAATCTAACATATGGTCCTTGTATTAAGGAATTTAATCTAATAACTAAACTATTTTCTATCTAATAAAAAGTGTCCAAACTCAACACCTAGTTTCTAACTCTACATGTCAACCTCAGCGAAAAGCCCGCTAAACGTCAACCCGCTCATAACACAACACATACACATCAGTCGATATCATCTCTCTTACGTCATGGCTTTGTCCATCAACACCAAACCTCAAAGTTCCATTATTAACATTGGGTCTAAAATTTTCATCATCAAAATTACACCAACATGGATGTTTCAAATTTTCCAAATCATGTTTCAGTTCATTCAAAGTGGACTTGTTAATTAAGGCAGTATAATGACCACTTTTCAAATTTCCAAAATGATTGATAATTCCCGATATCTTGTATACGATTTCATGACCTTGATTGTTGAAGCGAAGTTCAATAGGATAACGTATGGGTGTATCCAATTTATCAGTTAAGTTGTACATGGAAAATCTTGACAAGTGAATGAATAAGACCGGAGGTAATTTAACAAAGCTTAGAGATTTGGTGGATACTGTATTAGATGCGGACGATTTGTTTCCATCAGCCAATGACGATTTCTTTGATTTGCCCAACTTGAACAATCCCTTCTTTTGGACAAACACCGGATGATTCTCCACGGTGGGGACTTCACCGTGACATTTGGGGCACCTCCATGCATTATCACCAGACAACGTCTCATCCTGAATATAGTAGCTAAGACACGAAGTCAAATCAACTACTTCATTAGGTCGTTTGGTATTCGGTATAGGTAACGAAAGAATCGAAAATGTTGAGTAAGTGATTGATTCGTAATTGCACTTGTTACACCTAAGCTTATTCTGTAAATGTCCTTGAAATAAATCCAGTATGGGGCTTGAACCTTCGTGTTCGTGTAAGGATTTCCACCATTTGAAATAAGATGACTGATTCTCAATAGAAACATTGATGTTCCACTTAGCACACAAGACCTCGGGATCATAATTCTCTACACTCTTGTCACATAATTCAGCATGCAACCTTTCCAAAATAAACAAAAGAAATTCTTGGGAGTCTTGTTGCTCATGAGGTATGTTGAAATCTGGTTTCAACAACGAAGTAACACGAATGAATTTGGTTGGCGAAACTGACACACCACCATTCTGTTGGAAAGTACGTAACAATCCCGCAAGAGCTTCACTTAACAAAACAGAATCTTTCTTGTGTGAATTGGGATGTTGCATAATTCTCAAGAAATCAGGGTCCTTGACGTATTTCTGGTATCCACGGTTGAAAATAACCTTGAATGAATAAATCCCAAAAAGCATCTGTATTGTTGAATTGATATAGCACGATGAACCAAAGTTTCGCAATCCGCAAATGGCATAATCCTTAAGTATGCTCATCTTTCTTGATTTAATTTGTTCTTGCTGCTCTAATACGTGTGCGGGGATCATGGGATGTCCCTGGGAAGTTGGTTGCGAGTAAGTCTGCGGCTGTGCGTAGGGGTTGGGTTGGTAGTATTGTTGTGGTGGTTGTTGGTATGCATACGGAGGGTGCTGGTATTGCATCATACTACCATTGCTATACTGTGGTCCATAACTTGGATACAATGTAGGCTGAGGTTGTGGCTGAGGTGGCGGAAATGTTGGCATTGGGGAAGACAGTTGATACATAGGTTGACCAAATTGTGGATACAGATTTTGACGAACATTGGGTATTGAGTGAGTCACCTGCCCGTATTTTTGATTCGACATCGAAGAGTCATAGTTATTGCCGTTTGAGCGAGTATCTGTTGACCGGGTTACTGGTATAGGTGGTCTTTGTATTGGACGGGTATAGTTGTGTTTGACATCCACCTGAGTTTTAATTTGAGGTGAGATCGTCAAGTCTAGATCTTCTGCGCTTAGTTTTGCCACAATGTCATCTCTTGGGTATGGGTTTTGCTTAGCATCGTGGTGGTGGTTGTCGATGTCATTTGATTCATTAACATTGCCATTTTGACCTAAATGTCCATTCATTTCGTGGTGATCTTGTCGAGTGGTTACTGTTGTAGATGCTAACTGTTGATTAAGTAATGCTGGAGGTAATGCTTTTGGTATCGGTGGAGGCGGCTTTTTCTTTGCCTTCTCATATACCGAGTTATTAGCTGGCGGGTTATGCAGACCGTTCTGTTTGGTCAAGTGCACAGATGGATAGCGTACTTTGAATCCATCAATAGAACCAAAAGATGATTCGCGAGACCGACGACCCATTTCTTGTACAGGAGGGTAATCAGTCTTGATAAATGACAATTCTTCATCGAATTCGTCAGCTTCATCACTTGACACAGCATTTGCATCTGCGTTACCAATGACCCTGTCCCCATAATTGCCGAGGCTACTACTGCTGCTTCTATTGCTGCTGCTACTGCTTCTATTTTCTGCACTATCTCTATTGTCTTTGCTTCCTTCTCCTCCGATACTTGAAACGTCTTCATCTCCCACTTGATCTTTCTCTCGAAGATAAGTTATATATTGAAACAACCAATCATACAATTCTTCAAGATTGAAACTCAACAAGTTTTTCTTGATAAGGTACAGCTTTATGAATTCTCGTAAATCATTTGAACTCACGGTATAGTTGCCATTTTGAAAAATCTGATCGGTATTGTAAAATGCAAAAATGTTCAAGTATATTATGAAGTCTTGTTCATTCAGTTCGATAAATGCGTCAAATCCATCAAAATGAAACATGACAAAACTGTTTATGAAATAATTAAAGATTAAAAATCCTTTTGTATAACTTTTGATGGCCTGTAAATGATTATTCGAATCATTGGCATTCTCATACAACGATTCGCAATAATCTATGAGATCAAATAGTGATTTTGTCTGAAGTTCAGTGTCCAATTGTAGACTTCTAAATTCGTAGTTGATAATTTTTGTATAGTAGTACCCAATGTCTTCTTGACTTAATATTGAATTTGTTGACCCTGAAGGTTGCATTGCAGTTGATTTCACTTGCGGTAGCGATGGTGGAGCAGAGGGCGAGGTAGACAACCGGTGCCTGTTATCACCTATGCGGATACTGCTGCCGTTGCTGTTGCTGTTGCTGTTGCTGTTGCTGTTGCTGTTGCTGTTGCTGTTGCTGTTGCTGTTGCCGTTGCCGTTGCTGTTGCCGTTGCCGTTGCTGTTGCCGTTGCTGTTGCTGTTGATGCCATTACTTTCAGGACTACTACTTCTACTGTTTCCATTTTCGACATCAAGGTGGCTATGTCGTTTTTGATGGCCAGCCTTATTCATAGAGTTGGATACTGGTATTGAGGCAATCGAGGAGTGTGTTTTAAGGATCTCTGCAGTTTCTTGGTGATGGTGATGACTGCGAGCTGATGGCTCGGGTGGCGGTGGTGGCGGTGGTAGTTTTTTAGATGACAAGTACGACGCTGTTAGTTTAGATGGCGAGGAAGATACAAACGTCATGGTTGGGTGTTATTAGATATATATGTCTGTTTGTGTGCTTGTCTATCAGTTCTCTAGTATTGTTATCACCTAATAATGTAACAGCATTGAAGTGGTTGGTTTTTATTATCTTTTGAGTAGATGAAATCTCTTGGCTTTGGGTTATTTATGCGGAGAGATCGTAAAAAGGAAAATGGCGAGTATGACTCTTTTCACAATACCTTCTTAACAGATATAAACTTGTAAATGCTCTTGGGTAAAGTATATGTAATCACCCATATAATGGTGCAAATGCTCGATAATAAATGTGACGATCTGTATGTTCAAGCAAGATATCCACGGGGATCAAATATTTTGATCACTGTTTCGCTTTTCCGGATATTTTTCTTTACAATTCAAAGTGTCATTTTTCAAAATGTTAAGTCACGACACTGAATAAAACAACTGTGGGTTGAGAGAGCCAGGATTGGGACAGGCGAGGTCAGATTAACAGCATCACTACAAGTGGTAATCACTATTTGATTAACTCTATAAATACAATCTAAAAACAATAACAAAGTCATCTCTAGACATACTCTCACTTAGTGATGTCCCTTGTGAACACTTACACCTGGCATTTATGGTTCATGACAAAGTCAGCAACTATAGGGCGATGATCACTCATATAACGCCCGTTAAACTTTGAGTGCAACATCCCAAACTGAACTAATGCCAATTCTGCCTTCTCTTCAAAGACGTTTGATTTGATACTTTTGTCACAAACACTCCTTGCTGCGCTTGTGCCTCCTAGTTCATCAATTCTCTTTGTATATTTGGGAGCAAAAATATAGTCAATGTTTTGACCACCATCTCGTAACACCTCACCTTCAAAACCGGTAACGCTAGACTTTGTATGCCCAAACATATTTCCCACCGTGGCCAAATCAACACTGTTAACCATTACTTCCTTTATTTGCTTAATACAGGCTTCATTGGGCTCAGCATTGAAATCGCCGGCAATAAAACTGGGCCACTTATTCTCACTCCATTTCAGAAGATAATCTACTTTGTTCAAAATCAAGTCTGCCGATCCAGTTTTGGCACTTATGCCAATATGATCGAAATGAGTATTAAAAATATTCACGATGTTGTTCAGTTGCTTATGACAGAGTGTAACCACTGATGCAATTCTGGTATACACTGCATCCCAGCCTGGTATGGAAGAGCGCAGGTCTTTGCCATTCAACCAAAACGTATCATTATAAAGTAATTCCCATTGGTTTGAATTGTATATGATGGGGACAGACTCCCCCAATTCGTCTCCATTGATTCTTCCAGCACCATAAAAGGTCCATTGCTTATCGAACTTGTTTAATTGAGCAATAATATCCAATATTTGGTATTTATAGAGCTCTTGCAAAGTAAAGATTGTCGATTCTGTCGCATGGAACTTCATGGACGAGGTAATGTCCTTGACTCTTTCTTCCCAGGAAAGCTCACCTGGAATTAATTCATGCGTTCCGCCATTTTTAACATTATGTGAGTAAATCCTGAACTTTAGTGGCTTGATATAAGTATTAGCCAAAGGTTGCAACGAAACTTTTGGAATCGGTGGTTCGGGTTTAGTGATGGTGTTGAGGAATAAATTTGGCGGTGGAACCCCTAGTAGATCCTTTTGGCCTGGCAATATTGGTGCAACCTCCAGCGGTGGAACTGCATTGATTTCACCTAGAAACTTTTTAGGATTTTTTGGATCATTTATTAGTGTTGATGTTGGTGTTGGTCTACTGAGTGAACTCAGTGACTCAGAATCCTGCAGTACAGCTTTCTGTTGCTGCTGTTGCTGCTGTTGCTGCTGTTGCTGCTGCAGAGACCTGTATGAATCATAGTCAAACCTCAAATTACCTATTGGGTCGTTCTTTGGTAATAATGACTTTTGAGACTTGACGTAATAAAGTAGAATCAAAGCTGTGAAGGTTGCCAACACAATAAGCTTGAATCTGGACTTGGGAGAGCTAGGCATATCCAAAATTTTCAAGTGTGTAATTATCTCTACGTGCTGGTGTATGTATCCAAAAGTACTGTGGTTATTCTAGAGTGTAATACAATGACTGTCCAATGAATAGTAAGTGCTTTTCAAAGGGGGTGGTTGTGTGGTGGTCCATTTTTAGTGTCCGATTTTTATTTTCTCCCCTTGCCGCGCTACCAAAATAAATTGGCTGATATAATAAGTACACTGCAGAAATACAGCAGAAATAATATTGCCAACCGGAAGAACAAAGTATTGGGTGAATATTCCAAATACTATGATCGTCGAGTATAAGCAATGTTAGCACTTTTGTATAATTTTTTATATAATACTAATCGTTCAACGTACAAAGGGTTTCTTAGTAAAATTAAATTGACAGTGGCAGTGACAATGTCGCGTTGTTTTTAGATGTCTGTCACAATTTATTTCGAGAACTTTAAAAAATTTATTTTTTGTGTAACTATGTCCAAAATTAACTTTTTATTTTTTAATCTCCACCAACAATGACATCATTGAATTTCTTTCTTTCTCTCTCTCAGCCGACTGCTTTTGGATATCTTTTTCAGTTGTATAGAACGAGATGTATTTCCAGTCAGCATTTGGCCATGAACCTTGAATGGGAAATGTAAGAGTGTTTGTGCATGTGCATGTGCATGTGTATGTCTAATGTAGTGAGCTTCGATTCGGGCTGCATCTTTTCTTCTTCCTTTCACCTTACGCTGATACTATAAAAGAATTTCTCTTGTGCTTCCTTCTCAATATTGTGTTGGATACTGACATGCTGGATTGCCATTCGTTTCGAATGTAACCATTTACCACATATGGTGCAACGACAAACCATGATTTATCTTCTTACAACCTGAAACCCGTTGTTCAAGATATCAAATGTAAAGACCTATATATATATGTGCGTGTATATAATGTACGTATCCTTGGGTGTAAGTGAAACGATTTGTTGGCGAGTAGTGAAAGCAAGTTTCTTTGAAGATGAAAATGAAAAGATTTCAAATGGAACCCTTTTAAATATATATACATGTTTGTATGTGTTGGTGAATATGGATAAATACGTCTATTCTTTTGTTGTTAATGATCATTTGTTGTTGTATAGCAAAGGGCTTTTTTACTACGTATATGTACAGCAACCAGAAAAATATATCACACGCAAACACACGAAAACGTCTGTTGTTATTGTTGTAACCCCTTTGTACTTATTTTCCCTTTCCCGTTTCGGTTTATGATACACTTGTGTTGCCTGTACAAGCTAAATAGCTATGGATATAAAGTAATACAAAAAAACAAAATACGTGCAGTTCTATTGCGGTCACAAAACTAGTCATTTACGCTTTAGTCTATTTGACTAAACTAGGTTAAACTACACATATACGACTTTCAGAAAATAAACTTCAAAGAGGGGAATTGTGGTTTAGTGCATCTTTTCGATAGACCTCCCTTGGCTTCATGGTGTGTTGATATCTTCCTGTGCTCGCTGATTTGTTTGCGGTTTTACACCCCCTGTCTTTTAAAAGTCATACAAAATACAACATAACACCAATACACAATAGTTAAACATGTTAATATGTAATAATAACAATAATAGCAATAATAATAACCACGCAGCAAAATATTTCAGATCTTATACTTTAGGTTTTGTCAAAAATATGAAATATTGCAGGAGGAAAGATCTAGACCAAATTTATAAAACTACAAAATAATACTTGTGTATTTGACACTCCTTATCCAAGACTACTACTACAGAGTTTTCAAACTACTTCATTAGTATTTCTCTCAAAAGCCTCTTTGTTCTATCATTTACCACAACAGTGTCACATATATGTGGTCTATAATATTTATGTAAAAAATTAGGTCAACGGTAGAGTGTCCAAAAGTTGACTGTTGGATGTATGCAACAAATACCATCTCTCTTAATAATTGCTTTTTATGCTTTTAGCTATAGACTTTAGTTTTTGTGTCTGATATGTTTTCGTTGGTCATTTTTCCTTCTTCTTTTTTGGTCCTTGTTTGCTAAGCAGACACCAAATTTCGTCAATTATCATATGTATTCATGGCGGGCATAGTCACAGTCTCGGCTTCAAAGCAACAAACATATAAGTGACATAATGTGCGACAGTAGTCTCTTTTAGCGAAGCAGTCTTGAATATGTACACTTCTTATGAAAAGAGAGCAACTAAATGTGTTGCTCCATTGGAAATTAAATCAGCAGGTCAAAAAGGTCAGAGTAAAAAAGACTAATGAGAGATCAAAGTACAACCAGGGCAGATTTTTGAACATTCTGTTTTCTTAATAATATAGTACAGACAAACAAACAAGATACAAAAATCTACTTGGGGTTCCTGAAGTCTCAAGAATCTAGTACCTTCAGGAACAATTAAAACAAACATACAAAAATCAAGTGACATGGGGTAAAAAAGATGGCAAACAACACAAACACAAAAAACAAAAAAGTGAATAAAAAAAAATGCAACATCAATCAATCAATTTCCAAATTGACAACAACAAATGATTTCCCACGGATCTTCCAACAAACACTGGCCCTTCTTCATGTGATTCAGCTTCATACACAGACCCTTCTTCACAAATTCCAACTTCTTCATTTACATCACTGCATACATTACAAAGAAACTTTCTCCCAAAGACAAACTGACTTCAAAATGGCTGAAGTGCTAACAGTTTTTTTACAATACCACATCCAAATGGTTTAGCATCTTCCTTAAGAATTTGAGCACATTTCGAAGTGTTATTTTGTTTTTATGATGGTTCTGCGTTGGTTTCTCGTTATCTTTTATCGCGAGGGGAGAGAAATGTAATTGCCGAGATTACACATGGAAAGGGAACTCTTCGACGGATTCCGAGAATCACATGCTAAATGAAGAAGTTGTCGATATCCCATGGTATTGATCTCACGGCCCCTTCCTCAATGGATAAACGCAAAGACCTAATTGTTGGTCTTAACCGCAACACAATATCATTCCATCTCACCACTTCCACTCAATTCTTTTTTTCTTATTGCCATAGTCTGGTTTGTTTTCGACAGTGACTATTTGGACTTTGGACGGTTGAGTCTAAGAAGCATCTTCGGGCCCTCTTGAGTAGGATCTAGTTTTCGACTATCCAAAACGACGCAGGAGTTGCATCGCCTCAAGCCGGTTTCCGTCTCAGTTTCAGTCCCAGTTTCAGTTTCTACCNTTGAGTCTAAGAAGCATCTTCGGGCGCTCTTGAGTAGGATCTAGTTTTCGACTATCCAAAACGACGCAGGAGTGGCATCGCCTCAAGCCGGTTTCCGTCTCAGTTTCAGTTTCAGCCCCTTCAACTTCTTTGGGCTTTGGCTTTTTCAAACAAGACTTCAACCCATCACTACTCTTCAATTTGTCCCGTTTCTTAAACTTTAACTTTTTCAATACCTTCTTTACGAAACCAAAGTTGAATTTCGGTCGTTTCTCGACCTTCACTGTTTCAATTTGTCTGCACTCTGGTATCATATAGTCCTTTTTGTCAATGACTTCTTTCTTTGTAATAGTTCTCTTTTCGAGGTCGGTGTTAAACTTCACTTTTCTTCTGGACAACACACGAGCCTCGTCAACGGCTGAACACGTTCCCGATTCTAAATATTTCGGTAGTTCAATGTCTGGCACACGTCTGATCTGGATGCCATCAGGCACAAATCTTCGGCACAAAAGTGTATGATCAATATGTGCATTTATCAATCTTCTTCCAGGTAGGAAATACTGTCCATAGTTTGGATCAGTAGGACACGGACCCCAATAGTAGATGGAGTCGCGAGGATTTTCATAAATCTCAAGCTCCTCCCCCTCTGGAATAGCATCGTTTTCGGTCTCGTTATCAGCAACAGCATTCCCATCTTCATACAAATGTTGCCCCTCTTCGACCTCTTCAACTGATGCATCCACATGAAATGTTTCATTCACCATCTCTTCATTCTGTGGACTTCTATTGGATACATGTGTATAACA